CCATGAATGCTGTGTCCCCTATTAAGCCTCAACTTCTAATTCAAGATTACTATACCCTCCCACAGTTACAAAAGCTTTTGGGGGAAATTAACTGGATGAGGTCTTAGATCTCCATTGCCACAGAAAATGTAACACCATTATTTGACCTCTTTTAGGGAGATGACCTCTCTGCCCCTATAGTGCTGACATCTGATCATATCCAGCTGATGAATAAGATTCAACAGCCATTGATTCAGCTACCTTTAAACGATATGATCCCAACCTACTTCTTATTTTATATATTTTCCCTGGAGAAACGTTGTGCACCATTCTACTTGGTCAAGAGGGTGAACCAGTCCACTGGATCCACCTTTCAGTGGGAGGGGCCCCTCGAGTCTATTCTATGGCTAAACAGCTGGCCAACTGCATTGTTAAGGGAAGAGATCTTTCCATTAGGCTCTCTTGTTACCCCACTTAAGATTTCCTTTGGTTAGAGAGAAACAATAGCCAGGTTGCTCTAGCCTTAGAGGGCTTTCCCGGCAAAATTGATTGCTTTTGGACAACATAAGTGGATGAGTTCCTTTTCCAGACTTGAATGGAAGCCCCCTAGACTCATTCTATCTAGCCCCAACCCAAATTATCCCACCGTCTTTACCAATGGTAGGTGTCTGAGGTCCTCCATTGTCGTTTTCCCTCCTTCCTCATAGCCTATAAAGTCAGACCTCAAAAAAATTGAGGGCTCTGACCAATTTAAAGAATTGTTTACAGTGGTTATGGCATTAGATATGATTTCTGAATTCTTTCATTTGTTTTCCAACAGCCTCTATGTAGTAAACTTACTGCCTAATTTGGTAGAGGCTCATATTAGGCTTGATTCTAATGCCATCAACCCCATGATGATTTAGGCACATACCCTACTAAAACAAAGACAATATCCCATTTTTCTCCAACACTTTCGAGGTCATCAAGACCTCCCAGGTTTCCTATCCACTGGAAACCACCTGGCAGATCAACTTGCTTCGGGCTTACAATGCCATACTGTCACCTAGGCAACTCAGTTCCACTCATTAACTCATGTCAACTGGAGGGACCTAAGACATAAATACCCCCACGTCCCCATAAAAGACCTTAAAAAGATCACCCGTACCTATAGGTCTTGTCAGCCATTCTTACAGGCACCTCCCCTCTAGCCCATGGGGAGCAATGCCCAGGGTATCCGCCCTAAATAATCCTTGGCAACTCGATGTTACTCACTATTCCCCATTTGGGAAGCTAAAATATATATTTGTGACTGTTGATACCTTCTCCCATGTGTGCTGGGCATTGGGCCATGCCAGCAACAAATCTAAACATGCTATTAGCCATATGCTTCAATGTTTTGCCATTCTCGGACTTCCAGATCAAATTAAAACAGATAATGGCCCAGTTTTACAAGCAAACCTTTCTCAGTTTCTCCATATGTGGAAGATCTCCCATACTATGGGAATTTCTTACAACCCAAGAGGACAGGCAATTGTTCAAAGACAAAAATCAAGCCTTAAGGTCTCAAGTTACAAAAACAAAAGGGGGAGTCTTTAACCCTACACATGATCATCTAACAAAGGCATTATTCACTTTAAATATTTTAAATTTTTCAAAAGAAAATCCTCAGTTGTCCCTGTTTCAAAGACACTGGACCTCCTCCATCTCCTATAGCTTGATATGAGTCAGATGGAGCGACCCACTGACAGGAGTCTGGAGAGGACACCTGCTCCTAAAAGCTGGGAGGGGATTTGGCTGTATATTTCCCCAAAGTGAAAAAAGATCAATCTGGATACTGGCCAGAGATATAAAGTATATACCTCAACAAGGGGAGGCTGCAATGACATTTCCAGGGAGTCCACCTTCCCTGAGAAACCTCTCTATGCTTCTCCAGCAGGAGATCAAGATGATCAAGAAAACGAGCCTGCTGCTGACATGGATGTTGCTCCCCATCTTGACTGAGGGAGGACTCGGGGACCCCTGAGGAGCACGAGATATCTTTAAAAAATAGTCAGGTGGTCCCTGTAACAGTAAAGGAGGCAGCAAGAGCTCCAAGACAACCCATTGTGGACTGGATTTCATGGCCTATTACCCTTTTTCTTCCCCCTCCTTGGCCCCTTCCTTCTCCTTCTCCTTCTCCTTCTCTTGACTGTTGGGCCATGTGTGCTCAATAAGCTCACTCAATTTATCCATCAAAGGCTCGAGGCAGTCCAGCTTCACCAAGTTGAGGTCCATTATCAAAGATTTGTCTCTTCTGAGCCAGGGTCTACATATCCCTCTGCCTATGAGCACCCCTCATCAGCTCTCCACCTGACCAAGGACAGGTAAGATCTAAGATGTGCTGAGACAACCTAAGATGGGTGGTGGAACAGTCCCCCCTCCCCTACCTTTGAGCCAAAGTGACACATGGTATCCAGAGGCGGGTAAGGTCCCCATGTGGGGGACGACCTAAGTCAGGAGCCATGTAACCTGCTCATTACAAAAACAAAAGAGAGACCGAGCCAGGCTCAAGTTTTGAGACCTCTCTGTCACTTCCACATGGAGTGACTCAACAAGACCTGTTTGGGCCTGCCTCTGCCCCGGTGTTGCTAATGTAGAGCTTTGCCATTGGCCCTGTCAGTCACCTTATACTTTTTGTCACCCTTCCCTACCTCCTATGTCATCTCACCCCACCAAAACTCTTCCTCCCTATGTTCCAAGTTTATATAAGCAAGAGGCTGATACATTAAAGTTGAGTTCCTGCTTCGACAAGACTCCCAGCCCTATGTGTTTATTTTGGGCCATCAACACTCACCATCCCACTCAGCCCCTGAGAGACCCTGAAGGACTAGGACCTTCTGGCTCCTTGCCGCAAAAATTGTTCCTGTCTAAACAGAAATGCAGGGGCAAAAATGGAGCAGAGCTTGAAGGAATGGCTAACCAGTAACTTCTTCAACTTGGGATCCATTCCATGGCAGAGACCAAATCCTGATACTATTCCTGATGCTATGTTGTGCTTGCAGACAGGAGCCTCTGTCCTCTGAGAGGCTCTACCAGAAGCTATTGAGACAGATGTAGAAACTTACAGCCAAGCATTGGATTGAAGTCAGGAACCCCTATGGAAGAGTTAGGGGAAATACTGAACGAACTGAATGGGATGGCAACCCCATAGAAAGACCAACAGTGTCAACTAACCTGGACCCTTGGGAGCTCCTAGAGATTAAGCCACCAACCAAAGAATATACATGGCCTGAGGACTGCGTTGTCTGACCTTAGTGGGGAGAATTTGCCTAATCCTGTAGAATCTTGATGCATCAGGGAGGGGGATGCCTGGTGTTGGGCCCTCTCTCAGAGGTGAAGGGGAGGGAGACTGTTGTTGTATGGGACGTAAATAATCATCATCATCATCATCAAAAACAACAACAAAACCACTGCATGAGAAATGTTTCTCTAGAGTTAGCACACGGAGGCTGATATAGGTGTGGTCCAAGGCTTGGGTCATCTCTCTAGAGGACAGCAGAACATGGCAGTGTCATAAATATGTCCCATGTGGTACTAGTTTTGAAGACAATTTAAAAAAATGGCGAGAATGAGGGAGTCATGGAGAACAACTGACACCAGAGAGTGTGGTAGGAGTGCAACTCCTGCAAACAGGCTCCCACATGTCACTGTTTGACGTTTCAGTTGCAATAGAGAACACAAGAAATCAAAAGCAGATCTATATATCTAATGTTCAATGCTGAGGGAGAGGTTGGTAAGTTTTTCAAGTATGTTTTTCACAGTAAGGTATTTCATGTGTTATATACCAGATAAAGACAAACTCAATTCTTAGATCAGTTAGTTCATTATAGATTTTACTAAAATAATTCTCTGTGCATTAGTTTTGGTTTTGGTGCTGGAGATCAAATCTAAGTCCTTACATATGTTACACATACATTCTATCACTGCATTACACCCCAATCATCTGAAGAAACTACTTAAATTTTCTACAGCAAGTGACATTTGCAAAGGCTGGCTTAAATAAGTCCTTAATACTCTGTTTTTATTTTAAATATAATTTCACTTTAAATTTCAACATAAAACTTTTAATTTAGAAATCAGATTTAGAAGTAATTCGATAACTTTTGTATTAACTGAACATAAAACCTCTATGGATTTAGGATTTTATTTTGAAAAATTTAAAGATTTTTTAAGTGTCTGTGTGTGTGTGAGTAACTGAACTCAGGTCTTCTGTAAGAGTTCTTTCTTACTATGTATTCTTTGCTACTGAGCTTCAGCTCATACTTTGAATTCTCGTCTATAGCTATTGTTACTGACATAAGATGGATGGAGAAGGGCAGCCTATGATGATGGTACAGGACAACCTTTTCTGATACATAAAAAATTAGTTTAGTATAATAATTAGTTCTACACCAAAACCTGGTTATCTTTGACTCCATGCACTCATCCATATAGAACTTCTTCCTATATTGTAACATTCAATCAATTCTTCAAGACTTTGACTACCTCCTCTAGAATGAGTTTAACCAACTGATCTTATTCCTATTGTCCCACTATCTGACAATGTCAGTTGCTGAATCAAAATCAAAATGCTTCTAAATCATCTCCAAAGAAATAAAGGGATAAATTAAAATGGACTTTATTTTTTATCAGGTACCAGTACCCACTGATGTCCTAATGAGGTATTTATTAAAAATTAAGACTTATATTATCTCTTAATAAAAAAAATGTTACTAGAATCAGACACATAGTGTAGATGATATTAGAGAACCAAAACTTGTCAGTCAAAATGTGCTTGCTTATTGATCTCATTAAATAAGCTCAAAGTAGTTTATAACTTGAAAATGAACATAGGACCCGTTACTATGATCCACTATAAAAGCACATTTGTTTCACCAAAGTTTAAATATCAAATTTGCTCAAAACAAGGCTATCAATATTTATTATTTACAAGCCCCACTCCCAACAGTACAAAGTTTAATCAAATACAAGTATTACTTCCAATAATTACTTGTACTCACCTTGGGCCTCTAGAAGACCATGTATATTGATTTGCAGGTAGTTTCTCTCTCAGTGAATACTCTGCAACCATCATATCAGGAGAAACATAAGCTCCAACACCTATAAGAATGAATTTTGCCATTAATAAGGGGGAACACAATTCATCTCATGTATCCTAATTTTTTCCCAGTGAAACACATTATGCTTAATATGTACATTTGCACTCTTTTATAAATGCACTTAACACAGAAACAAAGGAAGTTTATTTTATACTACATATACTTCTTTTTTTTTAAAGATTTATTTATTATTTATGAATACACTGTAGCTGTCTTCAGACACACCAGAAGAGGGCATCAGATCTCATTACAGATGGTTGTGAGCCACCACGTGGTTGCTGGGATTTGAACTCAGGACCTCTGGAAGTGCAGTCAGTGCTCTTAACCACTGAGCCATCTCTCCAGCCCATACACTTCTTTTATACACATAAAAGTAACTTCCAGGATTATTATGTGCATTAGAAACACTGCCAAAATGTGTGCACATATCTCTTATTAAACCATAATTTCCCAAATTACAATAAATTCTAGGTAACACAGTTCTTTAGACTTTCCTACGAACACATTTAAGCTCTATGTGAAGGTACATTCAACCCACTGCTCACGGGATACATACAGCCCACAAAACTGTAAGTTTACTTAAAACATTATGAAGGTTTGTTTATGTAACTTGACTCTATGAAAACCTCCTGTCACAATGTACAATGACTGACAATACCTGGGCTTCCAGTGTTCTATGTACAGGACAGGATATAATACTTGATTAAACAGTGGTTTACTGTTTAATTTAAATATTTTTGGATACAGGGTCTCTCTAATATCATGGGCTAACCTCAAACTTGTGCGTTTCCTCCTTTAGTCTCTTGCTTTGCTTGTATTTAAACAAACCTTTTTCTGAAACTGTAAAACTTACTAACCTATTACACTGGATGTAGTTCCTCCTGGACAACCCACTGTAGAAAGGCATGGACCATTATTTCCTGCACTTGAAACATAAATTGTATTATGTTTCCATACTGCTTCATTAATTACTTCACAAATTCTCCTGAAAAAGAAAGAATTACTTGGAGCAAATACAACTTCCATATTTAATTTACGACCAAACAAATAACACTGATTCCAAGCTGTGTAACTGACAGTAGCTTTAAATGAGGAGACGTGTATCAGGGACATTCAGTTATGTGATTAGAAATTGGAGATTAAGATTCCTAGAACTGGCCGGGCGGTGGTGGCGCACGCCTTTAATCCCAGCACTTGGGAGGCAGAGGCAGGCGGATTTCTGAGTTCGAGTCCAGCCTGGTCTACAGTGAGTTCCAGGACAGCCCGGGCTATAAAGAGAAACCCTGTCTCAAAAAACCAAAAAACTGTGACAAAAGTCTAGTTTGTTTGTTTGTTTTGGGGGGGTTGCTATTTCAAATGTGTCTTTCATTTTTTCTTCCAAAAGCAGTACCCTAATTAAACAGCTTCGCCTAGACCCCTGTTCTGGTGTGCATTGAGCTATTGCCTGCTTGTACTAGTCCCTGTAAAGCTAGAGCACCAATCCTCTGCCTTCTGGAACCTAGCAGATATAGTTTTGCGCTGTGCTGCCATTGTCCTGTAGTTACTATGATAACGACTGGAGTTCTGAAAGTTCACAAGTATTCACCCTGAGCCGAGTGCTTGAAGGTAAAGAGTATCCTGTTTCTTCTGATCGGTACAAAGTAGCCAGTTTAAAGTGTATTAATATATACTTGTGGAGAAAATATAGTTATTATTTAGAGACAAGGTAAAATATTCTGCATAGATCAACTCCACTATTGAAAACTAGATTAATTAAGTTAAACCATTATTGCTCCAGCCTCAACTAATTCCTAAATAAAAGTATTAAAGTCTTGTATATGAAACATGTTTTAAAAACAATTTTCTCTGGACTTACAAGAATTTTAAGTTTAACAGATACCTCACTACATGTTTCCTAGATAAAAACAAGCCAATTTCTTACAAATAAAATTTGTAAGGAAATGTTCATTTTTAAGTGCTAGTGAGGAAAATTTGTAACTTAAAATACAACCTAAGGTAAGCAAACACTTAGCCTGTACCTATTTTGCCTTTTGCCGCTGCATTGACCTTAGTTCATAAGTGTTCTGAGTCTAGGAAGTTAGAATTGGAAGGTACTTTGGTACTCACTGTGTGTTGTTTCTTTAGTGAAGACCCAGCTATTTGCAGTGATACAAATGGAAGAAATAACATTTGCTATATCCTCTTGCTTTTTGTCCATCTTTGTAGTTTAAATTATTTTATTTACTTGGTTTATTTTTCTCACCTATAAAATTGACAAGCTACCCTACCCCACCCCCAAAAAAGTCCTAGTTTTTAAATTGAGAGAAAAATAAACCGAGTTGCCAAATTATCAGAGCCCTGCTTTTGTTAAAAGCCCATCTTCTGCTTGACTGGCCTGACAGACAGCTGGATTTGAAGTGGATTTGAAGCAGACTATAATTTGTAATTTTTTTAAATATGATTTACTACTTTAGTGTTTGTAATACCAAGATAAGCAAAAATGCACCTACAAACTATTTAAAATTCTTTTGGATAACCTAGTTAAGGTGGTATTGAACTGTTGTTAATCAGAATAATTTACTGCCTGACCTATAAATTCCACAGTGTCTAATCAGACCATCTTAAAAAAAAAAAAGAAATTGGAGATTATAAGTCATCTGACTCCAGAGGGCTTTGTAAAATCCAGTGTGTGATGTCTAACAAGAGATCCAAGTGATTACCTATACGTGGACAGGCAAGCTTTTCGTAGGACACAATGCTATTACAACTGGTATACCCTAGCTGAGTTTCATGGAAGTGGAAAATCAGATTAAAAGAAAGAATAAAATATATAGCCTGGGTAATGGTGCACACCTTTAGTTCCAGCCCTCCAGAGGCAGTAAGAAAAGGAGCTTTATGAATTCAGGTTCAATATGGATTACATAGACACGTCCAGGCCAGAAAAGGGGAAATAGTGGGACCCTGTCTTAAAAGAAGCAAGCAAGCAAACAAAACCTAATGTGGAAAACAAACAAACAAACAAACAAACCACCCCAAATAAATAAAAATAGTATTAAAATATTAACAGGAATTGCAAAGTAGTAACATTGAGAGAAAAATGAAAACCAAAAAAGAAAACAAAACAATGAAGTGACTCCTGCGTGCATTTTGACTAGGGGTTATTTGACTAAAAAGCTAGCTAGTATTTTTAGTGACAAAGTTACATGGGGAGTGGGATAGGGAAAGACTAGTAGAAAACCTAAAAAATTTTAAATCAAAGAAATCTAGTTAAAGATTGACAACAAACAAGAAAGTTTACTGGCATTAGTTAAGGGAGATGATGTTAGATTAACGAAGAAATTGGAGATTATAAATCATCCGGCTCCAGAGAGTTTTGCAAAATCCAATGTGTGATGTCTAACAAGAGATGCAAGTTCAGTTACCAACACACACAACATTGTGGCTAACAACTGCCTGTGACTCCAGCTCCAGGGGATCTACTGTCCTCTTCTGACCTCAGAAATGCCATGCACAACTGAAACACACACACACACACACACACACACACACACACACACGGGGGTGGGGCGTGGGGGTGGTGGTGGTGGAATATAAGTAACTGACAAAGGAGAAAAGACCACTCAACTGAAAAAAGATAATGAGATGACAAGGGGTAAAAGTGCACTATAGAAAGAAATGGTGAAACCTGGCAGGGTACATATAACAAGGGCAATAAAAAAAAATATTTCACAAGAAACCCAATTACCTGTAAAACAAGTGAACCATTTGGTAACAATCAACAACAGCCTCTACGTTGTTAAAAGCTTCCCTCTTGATAGGACCTTAAATAGAGCTTCACATACTTTGGTGCTCTGAGTTATAGACACACTGATCACTAAGTAAATGCTCTAAATATTTCAGATACATAGAAATATAAAGGGAAGGAGCTATGGTATATCAAGTTAAGGCCAACACTGTACTTGGGAGAAAGGATATGGATGACATATGCAACAGTTTCCTCTGAGGTAGAAATGCTTCATCCTGAAGTGAAGTTTCTCTTTAAGCAGGAAGGTAAACAACACAAAAAGATTTCCTTCAGGAAGGCCCTAAGCCTCATTAAATTTACTAGGCCCCTCCCTGCCAGAGAAAGCAAAGGAAGCTGGGAGTCCCTCTCAGAGGAGTGAACCTAAACTACTATGAAGAGGCTCAGAAATGCTGGGCTGCAAAGCACACCCTGAGTGCAGAACAGCTGCTCTGGATAAGCAGAAACCAGCCAATGTGCATGGAAGACGTTTACACAAACCAAGGCACCTGGAAAGGACACTTTCCAACCTGTTGAGCTGCCTGCAGGCTATGTAGTGTGCTCCAAGTTCCCAGCTTTTCTGAGCTGTCACCCATGCTAGAGTGGGCTTTGCTAATGCAGCTAGCTGTCTTTGAGCATTTCTGCTCCTGTAAATATCCTCTCACCCATACTCCTGTAAATAACCCCAATTAAAATCACTGGTTCACCAAGGTAGACTTTGATGGTGTCTAAATTTTGGTCTCTCTAGGAAACACTTTGTCAGAGAACAAAATTACAAAAAAGAAGGGAATGTAGGACAGAAAGTGGCAAAGACTGAGGCAGGGCAGCTCAATAAGTGGAACAACAGAAAGGTTTGTAGATATGGTCAAGAGACTAAAGGCAATAGCAAGGAGCACATCTGGGCATTTGTCAGGCAAGTACCACTGAGAAATTCCAGGACCTCTGTGAATGAGCTATTTTGGTGATGCCTGGGCCAACAAATCCAAACTGTCTGGAAGGAAAGGAAAATGTAGAAGCAATGACCAATGTCAGAGGGCTTGGAAGGTTTTGAGTCTCAGAACCACCATTATGGACGAGTGACCATGCTTGGAATGGTCTGGCAAGGTGCAGTGATGAGATCTGGCATCAAAGACATGACATAGGAGTGAGAGACTAACTCACAAAACACAATTTTCTGCCGATCATTGGCTATATTTTATTGTAATTTCAATTCACCTACTTAAAACATTTGATCATCTTTAAGTAGGTTCTATGATGTAACAACAGTCAAATAAAAAAAAAACCCAAAAAACAAAAACAAAAACAAACTTACCCAGAATTTGGCCAATGAGTTGCTTCTCCATAACTGTAGTTGACAAGATCACACTTATGATTTATAACTTCTATCATCTATTAAAACATTAAGAATCTGGTTTAGGAAGTCATTTTTAGAAACAGATTAACTAGGAAATAAAGTTTATAATCCTACAGTGTCTAGACTAATCATATCCTAACTTATAAGGTATTTCTAGACATACAGTAATTAAAGCCAAAAGGCAGCAGGGGAACAAATTCAGTAAACTGGCAGTTAAAAGTGAAACTATTCTTTTTAGAATATAAGAACCATAGATGAAAATGAGTAGAAGCAATACAATGATTCTGATTAGATTTTAAAGGTACTTAAGTTATATGACAAACAAATATGCAGAATATTAAATTTACTAAGGGCTTTAATTTTCTTATAGAGTATTGGATCAAGTTACATATTTTTAAAATTATCTTTAAAAGTTTGCTAAGAGATATACTACAATGAATATGAAGTATTTTTTTTTATATTTCCTGGCAAATTTTAACTTTAAATTTTGCTGTTGTTTTTTTTGAGACAGTGTTTCCTTGTGTAGCCCTGGCTGTTCTGAAACTCACTACAGATCTGACTAGCTTCAAACTTGGAGATCTGCCTGTTTTTGCCTCCCCAGTGCTGGGATTAAAAGCAAGCGCCACCACCACCTAGCAGCTTTATTTAAAAAATTTAAGATGAATTAATCAGCATTGGTTTGCTTCTAAAAACACTGTTCTGTACATCAAAATACTGTTAAATATAATCTTGATAAACAAGCAGTATTTTATAAATATAAGTTTCTAATCCCCTAAATTATTAATCTACATCAAGAACCCCTAGACACTCACAGCTCTGATGAGGCCTGTGCCTGTTTCCATGGTACTTAGCCTTGTATCACCAATCTTAATGGATAGAATTTGAGCACCAGGAGCAACTCCATTCCGTTCAGGCTCTTCTGGAAAATGCCCAGCAGCTATACTCGCTACATGGGTTCCATGAGCTCCTATAGACAGAAATAGGGTGTTTGTGCATAAGATGACAAAAAAATGTCATCACATTTGAAAATGTTAATCATTTTAACATGTGTATTATGACAAAATAATTTAATAAAAATATAACTCAATTATATATCTAATATTACCTCAAATATATTCATGTTTAAGTCAAACAAAATAAATTTTTTATTACATGTTTATTTTTTCCTCTACCCTGGATACAACTCTGTAGTAAGGAGAACAATGTAAGCCACAGAAGACAGTATTTGAAATACACAGAACTCACAAGTAATATGATATTCAAAGTATATAAAAAAATTTCCCAAACACAACAAAGGAAGAAATGAGTGCAGACACCCTGTCCACCAAGCAAAATGTGTAAAACATGTGAAAACGCATCTCACAAAAAGGAGGTTCACAAGGCATAGAAACCATGAAAACATGTTTTGTTTCATCAGTCATCATAGAATTACAAATTACTGTCACAATGAAGTATCTCTATGTACTTTGCAACATAATTAAGATGTTAAAGGTTGACAACAGTTTAGAATATACCATACACTGTTCTTGTTAGAGAAATCTGAACAGAAGCATACTTATGAATTTAGCACTCTCACCTTTGTCCCAGTATCCAACAGCCGTGTAACATATTTACCAAGACATTCACAAAAATGTTCATGGCTGCATTATTTATATTATTCAAAATTCCAATTAACTTAGGGTTCACTGAAAGTAAATGGCTATTTAACATATAACCCATAGAATTGACAGTCAATATGAATTAATATGCAATGAAATAAAGTTCATAAGGTTAAGTTAGTCTCATATAAAAATTGAGTTTATTCCATTTATGTAATTGGAAAAAGGATAAATCATGTGGAAACTGAAACTATTTTATCACTTGTAACATAACACAAATATCCCCATATGGTCAAAAGAATGTAGTAATGAAAATCAAGAATAGTTACCTTGGAAGAATGAAATTAAGGTTATTGGGTTTTCTAATGTTAGTACACAAAATAATAAATTTCATTATAATATTTGTATATGTTTATCATATTTTAATTACATCATGTCCTCATTATCTTCTTTTGAACTCCCATCTCTGGTCTTTCTTCTTAACACAGTCATAACTTACTGCATTCTCTTTTCTCCTCACCTGCCCAATCCTAAAAGCAGCATGGTATTTCCACTTGTTGTTATAGTCTCAGCATAAAAACACCCAAGTCTATCTACAACCCACAATATTATTCAACATGCTCTTCCAATTTATACAAGCACTTTATAATGGATATATATTGATTATGTAATGTTTTACATCATAATATAAGTATGCAGAATCTGACTTGGATAGTTACCTAGTAATTCAAATATCTAGTAGCCAGTTTTTAAAAACTTACATAGAATACTATAGTGAGATTCTTTTTTATATAAGTATCTGTAGTTAGGGGTGAATTTCTCAAAGGTAAGTATTTACAAGTAAAATCATTTCATATTTATTCATGGATTTTCAGATGTTGAGGTTTTGTTTTTATTTATGAACTACTTCTACACAGTATATAATTTAAAAAAAATCACAGAATTTCTAGGCTTTGTTCTTCAATAAAAATTTCTATAATGAATTCACTAGAGCCTCACTCTGTGCTGCAGGAATTTATCCTTCAGCCACTGCATGACTACCTCTCACTAGTAAATTTGAGACAGGTACCTCCACTGGTCACAATGGAGAGCAGGTTTCCATCATCATAAATATTAACAGAGTAATTCAGCATCTCGGCTGTGCCAAAAGAACTGTATTCTTGGGCCTCTTTGTAGTTTCTCAATACAGTAGATTTACTCAAGTCCCCACTTTCATTCGAATCAATACAGGCTCTGTTGGGAAATGAGAAATAGGCATTAAAATGCATCCTTCCACTCCTCTTTCTAAAGATCACACTATTAATACAGTTTCTCAGTCATCTTCTCATTGCTTACTTCTCCCACCACTCAAATCTGATAACTAGACTTCTTTGTTTCATAGAGTAAGCAGTTAGGCTTAGGTCAGAAGTTTCCCAGAAGTCAATGCTAAAACCACACACAAGGACACTGATCCCACGGATGGTATAGAAAATCACCTGGGCAGGTGAAAAATTTATACTAAAGCTTGGGTTGGAGTGTAGTCTAGTTTTAGGATGGTTCAAACATGTAGGTGCTTACTTCCTGCTACCATTTTTATTGTCGCCATTGTGAATACAGCAGCCTTTGGAGCTTTCTGATACCACATGACTATAAACTTTAAACTTTAGTCACATTAAAGCTTTAGAAAAACATTTTTTTAAACAAAATAAAATTTCCACCTAATTTTATGGTTTTCTTCCTACCTGCTCTTTACTCATTACTGTTAAAAATTAAAAGATACATATTTTAAACATATTATCAGACTGTTTAAACGAATCTAAAAGTCACAGATGAAATGCATGTTATGTAAAGATCAACACTTTTTATTGTATATTTGTATGTGCATGTTTGGGTGATTACTGACAGTTTTGCTACACAGCCCCAAATGGACTGATATTCACTAAGCAACTTGTGGCAATCCTCCTGCCTAGCCTACCAAGAAATAAGGTTGTACATATAAATCATTTTGCCTAACCTAGAACTGAATATTTGATTGCAGTGTTATTTTGCCAAGTTAACTTAGCTGATCTATCTCTATTTAAAACATCTAAGCCCATTTTTTTTTCCCACTCTCAACACATTTTAATAAGTGTCCTGCAATATTTATGGTTTCTTTCCAAATTGTCCAGTTTTAACAAGGAGAATTTCTATATATCTCAGCGATCAATCTGCCAAAATGTGACTAATGAAGTAAGTTTTAAAAAAATAGATAAGTATAATGTTTAGTGTGAAAAATACTAAGTTCAAAAGGCTTGTCCACAACTAACAAAAGCTGGTATGATTTTCACATAGTGTTGCTAAGTAACTAGTGTTGCTATATAAACTGTACAACTCTGAGGGTTTAAAGTTCTTCTGGGTAAATAAAAACAGTTTTAATAAAGATGATCTACAGAATACTTGAGATTACCTCCAAGTCTCACCGTCATGCCACACCAAGCAGTCATACACAGGACCTGGATCACTATACTTTTTCTCAAAAGAATTGAGTAATTCCACTTGACTTTGCAACTCTTCCTTGATTAGTTTATTGGCCTATTAGTCAGAAAACAAATTAATATTAGATAAAATGTTGTATACCTCAAAGTTGTATATGGCAAAAGACAGTGTTAAACAAACAGAACAAAAAATCACTTCACTTTGGAAAAATAATAAGGAAACAAAATGTTTCTGCAGTGTTGGAGACTGAATCTAGGGTATTGGATATATAAGGAAAGTGCTCTACCATTAAAAGTTATATCCTCAGTCCACAATTCTATTTTTGATTAAGAAAAGTGTATATTCATAATAAAAGAACAATTCAAAAACTTTTTATTTGTTACTTATTTAATGCCTGGATTGCCCAAAGTTGCTGCAATTAGCACATTATTTTCATAATAAAGACAAAATGTTTACTAATGAGTTCACATATATAGTATATTTCATAGAAGTCCCTTAAATTCATTCTCAAGGTTTAACACATTTCAATGCAAGGTAAGCCCTTAAATCAGCAGTGTCTATCTTTGATACCATGAGTAGCTGTTATCTTACTGAGAAACTGAAGTTTTAAATAATGTTTTCATTGACTAGTTTCAAACGTTGTAGTTCTTTTTAAGTCATACTAAGCATAAGGTCATTTTATTCTTTAAATAAGAATTATAGCTATTCAAATTACAGCACAACAACTGCTAGAATTGTTTAAAATATAGCTTTGAAAACTGAGAATAACCTGTGAATAATGATTTATTGTCCCCGAATCTCAGAGTAAAATCCCAGAAAGCTGAAAACACTGAGAAGCTTGTTTGCTTTTTCAATGTTGTAAGTTCTAAATGATAACACTGTTAACAGATAAACATACTTTGGTTTTTCTTTTTAAAGAAAAAGTATAAAACCAAAAACATCTAAAGGACCTTATTTTCATCTATAAACTACTTTAATGGGGTTGTGTGTGTGTGTGGGGGGGGGGGGGTAAAGTAGACCTAGGTTTACTTCCCAGCATCTACATGATAACTCAAAATTAATTTAATTTCCAGGGATGCACTACCCTCTTCCGGCCTCTGAGGGCACCATGAACACATGGTGTTTGCAAACACTCATACATATAAAATAAAAACAAACAAAATCTTTAAAAACATTAGTGGGTACATTTATCTGCCGATGGTGGGAATATAAACTGGCATAATCATTATGGTCTATGAAAAACTATAGCCAACAATATTCAAAATAATATTTTTCTTTTTTAAAAGATTTATTTTGATTTTATGTGTATAGTGTTTTATACGCATGTATGTGCACCACCTGAATGCCTGACACTTGTACAAGCCAGAATACACTGGATCTTCTGGAACTAGAGTTACAGACTAATTTTTGGGTCATCCTCAAGAACAACAAGTGTTCTTTTTTTTTTAATTGGATATTTTCCTTTATTACATTTCAAATGTTATCCCCCTTTCCCAGTCCCCCCCCCCCCCCCGGGGAACCCTCTTATCCATCCTCCCCCCCCCTGCTTCTATGACGGTGTTCCCCATCCACCCACCTACTCCTGCCTCCCCGCCCTGGCATTCCTCTACACTGGGGCATCGAGCCTTCACAGGACTAAGGGCCTCTCTTCTAGTTGATGACCGACAAGGCCATCCTCTGCTACATATGCAGCTGCAGCCATGGGTCCCTCCATGTGTATTCTTTGGTTGGTGGTTCAGTCCCTGGGAGCTCTGGGGGATCTGGTTGGTTGATTTTGTTGTTCTCCCTATGGGGTTGCAAACCCCTTCAGCTCCTTCAGTCCTTTCTCTAACTCCTCCATTGGGGACCACATGCTCAGTCCAATTGTTGGCACAGCAAGTGTTCTTATCTGCTGAGCAATCTCTTTAACTCCTAAGATAACATCATTCATAACAGTCAAAAAAAAAAAAGCCTGTACCTATGTGCAAGAACAAACTGTAGTATACCTATAAAAATAGAAGTAAAATAAACCATAATACCCAGGGCACAGACAATATCCTAACATTCCTGGCAAAAGAAAGCTGCATAAAACTTTGCATGGTTCCATTTTACAAACTTCAAAGAGGAATACCATTCTATACTGTTAGAAAACTAAATCATGATGATTTCAAGGAGGACAACTGAGATGGTAGATAAGAAGAGGTACAGAGGAATTTCTATGTGAGCTGATAAAAAAGACTTCATGATTATGTTTTAAAACATTCATAAATACACATGCAAATTGATGTGGTATAAATAATGATGTCAGAACTGGTAACTTTAACACACTGAGAAAAAATTGTCATAGGATGATCCCTATGAAAATCCAGTCTACTGAATCCTTTAGAATACTAATATAATTCTGTGAAACACATAAATAAAAGTGAGTAGCACCAACTTGGGAAGAGCCATTGTTGGCAATATCAAATTCTTCTTGTTTTCTACAAGCTTCTGCAAGTGCAACTCTGTGAATTGGATCCCAGATTTTTTCCTTCCGTTCTTTCTGCAGAGACAAAAAATTCACCCCACAATCAGGCAGACAAAATAGTCACATAAACCTACATGGTTATGTTTATGCCTTGCTAGCAATTCCAATACAACAAAGTTATTAAACAAAGGCTTACAAAATCATTTCTAGTGAACATAAAAGTAGTGAATCAATAAATGAAGTTGGTTAGGAGAACAAGTTTATCAAGTCATACCAAAATATTTTTATGTTGTTATTCCTCAATTTATACCCACCCTTCTCCAAAATGTAGTGTATCATATCAGGAAACAAACTGAATTCCCTGTCACTTAAAGTACAAATAATGATCCTGGATGCATACAAAATTGGAAGATGTAAATAGGTCAGTACAAAGTGATGACTAAAGACAGGCTACAACTTCATTGGGAAGGGTAGATATTTTCAATTCTCCTGTCCATGATGCTTCATACTCTTTCACTGGACAGGGATCCATGCTTCTGAAATTGGTCTTAACCATTATCTCCATTCTTCATCACATAGTATCTTGTAACAAAAGTCAGCTAGATAAAAGAATCCTTTCATTAAACTAATAAACTGGACGATCTAGGAAGAATCTACTTCAACTATATGATGTATATTCACATGTAGATATTTTCTTTACCAAAACTGCGCCTAATACACCAAATTAAAAATGCTATTATGTCTGTGTGTTCATATTCAATCAAAGCTATGTGCATTTAAATAAGTCCTGGTTCAAGGATATCAAAGGAAGAATAGACTGTGATTAGATGACAATACCACACAGCAGGATTACTGTCAAGAATGACACTGTTTCATTGTTGAAGTACTGGACTCACATCACTGATTAGTGTCACAGTGTTCAGAAATGACGCTATGCAATACCCATAGCAGTTCCCTTAATAAAGCAAATATTTAAAACTTCAAAAATCTGCATCATCAAAGAAAGTTCTACTGAAGAGAAACTCTTTATAGCAGACTCCTAACCACACTTAGCTCTGTTTTAACTACAGATCCGGTTTATCCCATCTATATGCATGTATGCGTGTCTGTGTCATTTTTGTGCACTATATGCACGGCGATACCCACAGAAGCCGGGAGAAGGCATAAAATCCCCTGGAACTGGAGTTATAGGTGGTTATGAGTCATCTGGTGTGCACATTGAGAAGGAACTTAACCATGGTTTGATGCAAAGGCAGTAAGACCTCTAACCTGCTAGACTCTCTAGTTCCACACTTGTTTCTTATACACATACTTCAATAGCTTTACATCTGGTTATCAGAATAATACTAAATGATGACAAACTGGGAGCAAAAAGACTAGACAATAAGAAAACAAAAATAGAGGTCTATACTTTAAGGAAGTCCTTAAACGAATCTAAAGCTCAGTTTACATCATCTGCTCACCTGCACCCTGCCGCAAAATACAAAAGCTTAACCTCTAGCTTAGTTTTGCTTTAATCTTCCTTAAACTAACTAGTCCATGAACCCAAGACTATCCACTTTAAGCAAAAAACATACTCTTGAACAGTCTTTCAAAGTTCAAGTCTCTCAAAGATTTAAGACCTCATGAGAGTATCATTTTTCTTCAAGGAGGAATCCAATCTAAGCATATACTTTTGCAAGCTGATACTGAGTTTGTCATTACCTGTATCCTTTCCTTGAGAGCCTTTGGGTAGAAGTCATAACCATTTTTAATGCCAATATGATATTTTCCTGAAGGATTTGTCCAGTCTGCAGGAATCTGTAGGTAAAACAAAATTTTCACATACCAATGATACACCACTTTGAGAACAAACCATCTCACATCTAATCTACTGGCTCACATTGGATAAACAGGCTTCTGTATATGAGAAATTCTTTTAATGTTCTAAGTGGTCACTTAAGTGTCACTACGGTTTCATAGTTTGTAAAATCCTTTGAAAATGCATTATGCTATTAAACCACTATGATTATTTAACAGTTCTTTACATTGCTAACATCTCATCTCTCCTTTTACCATACTTGTACAAATTAAGCAGCAGGCAGGAAGAGCAATCAATATTTGGGACTTTCTCCACAGTCTGATTTCCTATTTACAGTAAGAGTGGCTTTCTTCTATAACAGCACCATACAGATAATGCACAGATATAAAACAAGGCTCTCTGAATCCTTGTAGACAAAGCACTATAAAATCATGTTAATTTCATGTAAGATCTGTAACACTCTCTCAAATTATCTCATAGTATTTAAAAATAGTTTTTAATAGAAAGATGAAATTAAACGACTTATACAAACAGGAAGGTAAAAATTGGAATCTAGTTCCATCATGAAAACCAAAAAATTCAGTTCAAAGGATATGAGATTTTAAATCAGATATTCTAAACTTCACCACTAGTGGGGGCAGAGGGGGTACAATTATTTCCTTCTGTGTACAAGGGGAAATATTCCATAATCCAAGTCTTATGACCATTTATTGGGGGGGGGGGGGCATGTATGTGGTCTCTCTAATGTTTTTGGAAGCAAATACACCAGTTGCAAGACGGTTTAAAGAAAGTTTATGCAGCAAAGCAAGCAAGCACTCCAAAGAAGAGGGGAGACTGGGAAGTCTCAAAAGCGAAGTTGCAAACCCTGACACGATTGCTGATGCCAAGAAGACACTACTGCTGATGCCAAGAAGCACTTGCTTACAGGACCTGGTATGGCTGTTCCTGAGAGGTTCTACCAGCACCTGACCAATACAGATGCAGATACTCACAGCCAACAATCAGACTGAGCCCGGGGACCCCAATGGAAGAGTTAGGGGAAGGTCTGAAGGAACTGAAGGGGATTGCAACCCCACAGAAAGAACAATATCAAGTAACAGGATCACCCAGAGCTCCCAGGGACGAAACCCCCAATCAAAGTATACACATGGAGGGATCCATGGCTCCAGATACATATGTACCAGAGGACTGCCTTATCTGGCATCAATGGGAGGGGAGGCCCTTAGTCCTGTGGAGGTTTGATGCCCCAGCATAGAGGGTTGCTAGATCTAGATCGGTGAGGCCAGGAGTGGATGAGTGAGTGGAGGAGCACCCTCATAGAGGCAAAGGGGAAGAGGAGAGGGTTGTGATGGGAGGAGGGGAAGGGTAAGTGGAAAGGGGATATCATTTAAAATGTAAACGAATAAAATTATTAATAATTAAAAACCTTGAAACAAGTGAGTTGGCAGCACTGCAGTTCTAAAATATATGCCATACAGAAGTTTCTATGAATATGTATGAGGTGGGTGGCATATTCATGGGGGAGATCCTCTTCTCTTCCCAAATCATGGAAACACAAAACCAGAAAATAAGTAAACTAATGAAGCTAGGATCTTATGAGGATGCAGGTTCTTCATCAGTGCATGCATGGAAAAATATCCTTGAACCATAGCTTCTGATATACTGAGAACAACCTACCTATCATAGTGGGAACAACTAATCTATCAGCAGCTTCAAGGTATTTAATCACAATGGAGTATTATGAAAATTCAAATGTCAAGACACATCCACAGTTTCTTGGTTAACTCCCTTTGAGACTGGCTCAAATGTTCATGACTGTTCTCATGTTCTCTGTTGGTTGATATATTCTGCCTCTCCAGGATTAAAATAACCTGTTATTTAAAGCTTAATTTATCATGAAATCTAGAATTTGCAACAGACAGGCAGGCCACTCAAAGAACATCACCCTGGCTATCTAGCTCTACCACTCACATCTATCATCTACCAAACAGTGAAGCTAGGCGTCACAACTCTATGACTCATATGAATAAAAGCAATGAGCACCAACCAATATAAAATTTCAAAATCTACTCCTAGTCAGGCCAATTATAAACAAGTGTTATCTATGTACTAAGTACAAGGCTGAACTACTAGTAACTCACACCTGGCTGGGTTACACCTTAAATTCCACACTTGAAAACAGAGTTACGTGGATCTCTGTGAGTTTGAGACCTGTCTGGTTTACATGAGTTCCAGAACAGCCAGGGCTACATAGACAATGACCCTGTTTTTAAAAACCAAAAAGAAAAATAAATAAAAAAGAATCCTTACTTGTATAGTATTGCTCCCCAACTTATTCCTATGTTTCATAGGAATTTTTTCTCAGGTAGAAAACTTTTGGGTGAAAATTTCATAAAACTAGATGTATGAAAATCATTAGAGGCCTACATTTTAACTAAAATTTTATCAATTGGCTGTCTAAAGAACCCCATCCATCTTCTTCAGAAAACATGTTCATCATAGTCTTGCAGTGCTCTTAACATAACAAAAAAGTGTTGCCGCAAACTGCCACTATCAGGCAACAAAATACCCATTGTACATGCACCTTTGTAAGCTCTGCCTAGGGACAACTTCAAAATATTCAAAAGGCCCTAAACTGCTAACAAAGAAAAACTCTCAAGCGATTAGACATGTTTAATCACACTAGCTGGGATATATATCACTAAAGCACTAAAAATTATGACACACTAAAAATAATCTAGTTGTCGACTTATATTTAACTATAAATAAAAAAATGTACAGGGTCCATGGATCACATACAGCTCAAAATTTGACTATACGTTTTCCTTAAAAGTAGACTAGTTATGAAAATTATAAAAAAAAAATCTCAGAGAATTAATCTCATGCTACCTAAACAGGCAATTATGGAATGTCATCTCATGTATTTAGCTCATATTTTGAAGTTATGTGTGCTATTTTTAAGAAGCAAAAGTTTACATTTTCACCATTTTAAGAAATCTTTAAAATGGTTCAAACTCCATACTATAATTACAATCATTTTCTCCTGTTCTAATGTAAGTCTGTGTGGGTATATACCCGTGTTACACACATGGAGCACATGGAGGCTAAAAGTTGATGTAGAATTCCTCTCTTGCTCTCCATCTTGTTTTTTTGAGACAGTCTCTGACTAAACTGAAGCTCACTGATTGATTAGCTGACCATTGAGATCCAGGGACTCTACTAATTCTATCTTCAAGTGCTGACATTATAAGCATACGCTACCACACCTCAATGTTACATAGGAGGTGGGATCTGAACTCAGGTCTTCATACTCACATGGCAGACATGTTATCTACTGAGCTATCTCCCCAAGTCCTCATCTCTGTCTCTTCTTTTAAAGATAGAATATTGTTATAAATGTAAATCCACTTTGCCTAGAACTCAAAATCCCTATGTCTGGAGTACATAATCTTTTAAATTATAAATTACAATTCATTTCTGAAACTCTTTAAGAGATGTCGCTAATAAATGGAACAATTTTCTCAATGAATCAAGTGTCACCATGACCATGATGTTATTTCAGTCTTGCCAGCTTTATAGCAAGCACATCCTTGTGTACACAGATGCTATCTGCTCTGACTATACTATATCTAGTCCCACTATTCTGTATGCCTGCACTAGCTTTAAGGATTTTTCAATATTTGAGTCTAAATATAGATGATTTAAAAAAATGTTTCACTTAAATGTGGTAAAGTGAAAACAACATGGTATTCCCTTCTAAGATTAGAATGGAATAGAGAAACTACTGGAAAACCACAGGACAAAGAGAACTAAATATTAAGACTTACAGGTGTTAACTTTAATTTTTTTCAAACCTTACTTTTAATGATAGTTCTTAAACACTTTAGCCTCCCTTGTAGCCCACTACCCACCAGAGGCAGTGGGAAAGAAAGGATGGGGTGAAGGGGAAGGGACCTATTTAGAAAGGTTTTTTGGAGCAACTCCCTTCTGTGTTGTCTGGAAATTGGCAGTTCAGTTTACAAGTTAGCAGCGGCAGCTCGATCCACTCACAAACACTTCACAGTTACAGCAGCAGTCCAGTTCGGTACAGTCGGCTTAGCAACACGACCTAGTGAAGACAGCCAGGCCTCAGCATCGGCTCAAGGCAGCAGGAGGAACCAGGAGAACCACCAGAAGTTCTTGGCTGTGCCAAAAAAGACCAGAGACCCACACTGCACAGCTAGCTGAACCAGCAAGCCAAGCTTGTCTCTGTCACTCCATCAAGTCCTGTTTATACCCTCCAAACATCACGTGTTCTTAGCACGTGTCTTGCCTTAGCATGTACATCCAATCAGCCCGAGTGGAAGGAGTCCTGACAAATGGAGCTTAACTACGCAGTATAAGATAGACCAATACATGTGTGTTGTTAGCAAAGAATCCTTCATGTGCTGGCTTTAATAGAACATCCTCTCCCGTGTCTGTCTGCTTCAGTGACATGTTCCTTCAGGAGTCTGCCTTAGTCTTTCACACCTGTGTCCACTTTAACAAAACTTGCCTTCGCATGTTTGCCCCAACAAAACACCATCCAACTGACTTTACAAAGAGCCCTTAAGTTTCCATTTCATACAGGTGTGCCCAACCTTTTGATATTGCTAACACAACACTGTCATATACAAAGTTCACAACCCAGAATCCATCCTACTCCCAGCCTTACATAAATCTGACTTTCTCTTGAGCCACACCAATAGCTCTCAAATGTCTCCAGTGAGCCTTAGGTTGGACATACCTGCTAACACACTTTTAAGGTTGCAATGTAAAAAGAAAGCCATGAGTAGTACTGGGAAACTAATGGAATATTAATGTGTGATGTTGGCACATTGGGTATTCTTAAGGGAAAAATAGGACACCAACTTCATACTAAGCATAAAATCACTTCTAGTCAAATTCTCTAGAACAAATAAGAAAATCACAATTTTCTAGGAGTTATAAATTTAATTAAAGTTTTCATTTATTAAATATG